TGCTGTGTTCATCCAGCTCTACACCTTGTTATCTCAGGTTTTCCAGCATCTGTAGTTCCTACTATCTCAAATATAATCTCTTGGCAGGTCCCAGAGACAGCTGTGAGAATTGTACTTGCTACACCCTGATTGGGTTAACATTTAATTCTAAATGAAAGAGTTATGAGAAAAAACAAATCAAATCTAAAGGAAGGAAAGGAACTTTCACTGGTATAGCACCATTCACAACCTCAGGACACTCCAAATTGATTTATACCAACAATGTATTTTTTGAAGTGTCGCTCCTTTGTATTTTAGGTAATGCAGGAACCATATTGTCTGTTAATTAGCTAATGATCAGTTAATTTGCTTTTGGGATGTTGGTTGAGGAACAAATATTGGTCATAACATGTCCTGACATGGGAAAGGTAGGTTACAGTTGGAACACACTGCTTACTTCAGTTAGTAATGTACAAATACTGTGGGACTCATTTGTCTTGCAATATCACCACTGATTCCATTTGCCTTCAGCAACAGTGCAGGAGAAGCAAAGATTCACCTTAGCAGTCTGCACTTCATGGACTTTTTCCATTCCCAATAAAGACATTGGTAGAAAATACCAGTTGGCCATTTTTTTTCTCCAGCAGCAATCAGCTGACTGGTCAACCTGTGATAATATTTTCCCCTTGCTGGCACTTTGACCCAGAAGCAGAAGTGAAAGTTGCGACTCAGCAACTTGTGCCAGATGATGTGCTATATCCCACAGGACTAGTACGTTGAGAATACAACATAACAAGTTCTGCTGAAAGTTCTTTACAGCACAGGGGCATACAAACTTTGAATGGATCTGCCGCACAGTTTCACTGTTGGAATCCTGCACAACCTGAAAGCACCAGGAAGAAGATTATTTTGTGACGAGCAGAATAGTAAAATATAAATGATCCACATAAAGACTTGCATATACTGAACCAGTTATAAATGCCATAAACAGCAAACGGCATATAGCACTTTCTACATAACATTCCAAGGAGTCATGAATATGCTTTTAATAAATCTGAAACAAAAAATTGAAGATATGCTGTGAAATTTTAGTTAAAGAAATGGGAAAATGCTTGTCTGGAGTTTCTCT